CGAGTGAAAAAATTGACAGTGTATTAAAACAAGTGAGTGGGCAGTCGATTATTCTGTCTGTCATAGTATTCCTTTACTGTTAACTTGGTGAAATATTATTCTGGATCATTCAGGAATGGGTGAGACTAGCAGTTGCTGGGAGACTTCGCTCGAATCAGGCAGTCTCTCGATGAGGTACTATGTTCTGACCGCAATTTCACTCGGTCATAGCTATGACTGCAGTTACCTTGATATGTCACCCAACCATCTAATGCTTTTTTCATTCGGTACATCCTTCTACGGTGTTGAATATTTTTGCATCTCGTTTGCATTTTGAATGAGATCTGTGATGGAACCATGTCTGCTGTTAAGGGTAGAAGGCTATCTGAATGGGCCATTAATATCTGTAATGTTTGTCAGGGGGTGTAATTTCACCCTTGTTATTCACCATTGTTTTCGAGTTTCTCTTTAGAGATAATTCTCATCCTTTCAGAGGCAAGGATCATTTTGTAGGGAGGCGCTGTTCAGGGTGTTTGACCAAAAGTCTTGCTGACTTGAAGTACGCAGATAATACTGTCCTGGAGATACAGGAAGCGGACATCGTCAAGTGACAATGTCCGTATGCGAAACAGCAGCGAAAGTCGATTTCTTCCTTAGCATCTGAAGTTAAAGTAATGAGGAACCCATCCGCCCCCAACAGTCCCCCCGCAATGGTCAAGGAGGTTTACTATCTTAAGTACCTCGATTATGTCATCTTCAATGACGACAGCACTTAGAACAAAATAAGAGGATAGCCCAAGTTTCCAGTGTTTATGGTAGCCTGTACAATAATTTGACTGATAGGGAGGTATTTCTTTCCACAGAGGTTCTGTGACTTGCATATATTAGGTCGTCGTTACTGTACGGCATGGAGACCGTCGTTTGAATGAACGTTGAAGAATGTCGGTTGAAAAGCGGAAACAGCGTTCGTTTTTGTGCAGAGTAAAAGTTCAGCGACGGGATCGCATATTAGTAAATGGAGAAAACATCAGTCGGTTGTTCTGCACTAGCTGCTACGGATGGTTGTTTTTCAGCTAGCAGACGACTATTCTTTAGTTTAGACCGTTAACTCCAGCCATCGAACTTCTCATTTGAGCTTTGAAGCAAGAGAAACATCAACCAGGCTGACAGCGTGCAGTATGAATAAACATGTGAGGTAAATTTGCATTCACTCGACGAATTGTACTTCTGTGTTACAATAACCGGTGCGTTACAGCAAATGTAGAAAAACTTAAGATTCCGCCGGAATCCCACAATGGCAACGTTTTCCTAGTGCATACAGCGTTCATCGAGATGGCGATTAAAACAAATAGCATGCTTCTAGAAAGTTTTCGTTCTCTATTTAATATGGTCGCTTGTCTGGTCAGAATTAATGTAGTCGGACGTCGGGTTTTTGTAGCGCCACATTTACGCGGACGTTGTTTAGTTCTGATGTGCATTGCACGAATGCCATTCAAACCCGCATTTTTTTCCGGTTCACGTGCAAATGCGGCGGTTTCGAGTAGAATCGTGAACTAGAATTTTTTCGGTACTTTGGAACTTTGCAGTCTTTTTCTCTACTCATCGTTAAAGCTAAGGATTGACTTTGTTAGGTCTCGATTTGTTTGCTAGAAGTGTTTCTGGAATTTTGGGCATAATGCGTGACGATATCGAAATTTTTGTGCATTGTTAAACTTTCCTTGCCATAATCTTGCGCCGTTCTCATAAATACCTTTCATTAGTCCAGATTTCACTTAATGTTTCGAAAGGATGGGCAGTCCATTCTTTGTTTTTGTAATGACCCTTACTGTGCCTAGAATATTGCCGAGCATTGTATATCTCCCGTGGATCAGATGGGTATATCATATTCAGAAGTGTATAAGATTAGCGGAGAATACTGATTCATGGGTTGAACAAATCAAATATTCGGTAATACTTGATAGGCAATGGCAGAAAATGTAGAGAGAGAAAATATATATATATATCCGATTAAATTTAAAGACCAGATTCGAATCCCTACCCAATCGTTCGCCTGTATTCGTACTAGATAGAGGAAAAAGTTTCAATGCATAAGCAGAAAATAGTGACAGATCTCTGTATTTGCCACAGTTGCAGATATTGCTTTCACGAGAAAAGCACTCAAAGTCCAACTCTGGAACGAGGATCAGTGTTCGCTCTAAGCTTTTTAAAATTTTTGCTTTAAACAAGGAAGAATGGTATCCAGATAGTTACAAGCATTCCTCCATTTTTCGATGCTAGATTCAAAGTGGACAATTATGAGCATAGAGCAATGCAGTTTTGCAAGCCATTACCTTTCGCTATATCTCTGTGTGTTGATAACAGTGCGCATGTATATTATGGCCTTTGCCTGCAGGTTGCGTGATCCGACATGTGAGAAATTTGTTAGAAGTTTGACTCTGCAGAGTAAAGCCGTTTCGAAGTGTCTTGATGGAGAATTTCATTCCCGTGTAAGACGTTCTATTCAATCTGTGACATATTTGTCGTCATTTCAGGAGAATTCAACCGTGCATTTATTTGTTTTCGTTTTAGGAGTGCCGTTCTACATTGAATTTGTTCACCAGCATTCGGTAGACGTTGTTCTTTCGGCCTGTCCAAATTCTTTTGTTTGTTCGGCGTCGGAAAGCGCCCAGTTTGGTATCATGGCACGTGTCACCATTCGTTCTTCTCTTTTTGTATGATGTCTTTCGTTGAGCACTTTTGCTCCTGAAATCATGAAGCGCCGAATGGCTTATTCGTACTTTAAGAGCTGTGACAAATTTCGTCAATCGTTCGGTACATGTTGATTTCAAGTTTTAAACAGCATCATGTGTTAAATATTAAAGATCCTTTTGCACCAATGCATCACCGTCAGACGATATTGTTTTCGAAACAATGTCTTTGCTTTGCTGCTTTTCTCGCAACTGTGTAACTGACTCATGTGGATCGATCACTGTTCCGCTCTCTGTTGAAACGTTCGCAGTTTTGTATGTTCTAGTTTCTTAAGTTTTTACTGCATTATTAAAGTTTCTTTCTAATGTTGTAGAATACTTTGTTGCTGTACCTATAAAAGTAACAAAAAAATCAGTGGAAAACAGTTTTATTTGCACACGCAAATTATTGATTTATCTGAAAATCGAGCAGCAGTTTGTCTTTACACCGTGAAAGCGTGTGGTTCGAGTTCCAGCGAGGTGAAAATTTCAGTTCCTAATTGCCTTGATCAACAAACTGAACTTACTGCGCTTCGGTGCAACCAGTAGGTATCAAGTCACGGACCTTGGCCATTTATGTGGAGCCTTCAGATGCATATAAGACATTTCTGAAATCTGTGACCTAGATAATGGCAAGAAATCCATCGCTGTTAAGGTTGCATTGGTCTCCACGGACAGTGTGTTATTCCCTCTTCATGTTTTTCATAAGCTGGATCAGTAGACAAAGCGTATGCACGAAGAACATTATAGGCAGCATAGGTGAACAACCTGCTGTTCCTAGGTGATTTCGTTATGTTCGCTTCTCATGCTAACTTCCAGCTTTATTTGATCGGTTAGGAGCCGCATGTGACGAAGTCAAAATAAAGATAATTGATTAAATTTAACATTTTTATATATTTGAGGAAAACCACCCAGCATGGGAAAACCATCAGAAATTGGGTGCTGCAGTGGA